TATTTAATTTTCTTTATCTTCTCCTCGGGTGCTGCGTTCGCTGCTCAAGCTTCTCCTTCACGTACCGTTTTGAGCCTATGGAAGCAAACTTCGTGCGAAAAGCTTGTGTGAATTCGTCCCATGAGGCGAGAGCGCTGATGAACCACCACCATGATGATGGTATGTTGTGTTTAGTGGCTCACGGGCCATGGTTGGCCAAAGAGCGCTAGGACTATAGTTAGATAATGATGGATGGTAATGTATGTCAGCTGTCACTAACTATAGTCCTAACTATAGACAAACCGCCACCATGCTGCCCTCCAATTCAGCCAGCTCTACATTGCTGAGCCTTTTCGCCTCTACAGTCCCAGACACGAGACAAAAATTGTCCAAATGTTTCAATAAACCTTTGGTGGCTGCAGGTTGTTGAAGCACGAGAACTTTGGCGGTTCTGTGGGCAGCATGGAAGTCATGGCAAGTGGCTGCGAGGATTGCAGCGCGGACACTCGCACGCCTAGGCCTAACGGCGCGGCCATGGTTGGGGTGGTCATCACACATTGCCGCAGCAGGAAGGAGATCTGCTCACGCTGGATCGTCGATCCGTATGTTTGGCCAATGACATATTGCTACTTCCTCCGGGACGACTACGTTATCCATGTGATTGCGGACAAGCCCCCACTTGTCAGGGAGGAAGCACACACAGCATGTCTCATCAAACACACACTTTTTTCTCTCCCCTCTTGCATGGGCAGTCCTTGTTTATCTCCTTCAGGCGCGAATTAAGACTAACACGGAGGAAAATTATAATTCTTTCAAATATGCATCTAAAGAGCGACCCAAACAGAGTGATATCAATAAAAACATGTTTATTGAACCAAGAATTTGTTTTGTGATGTGTACATTTGTACACATTGGGCCTCTAGGCCGTAAAATATGTGGATGGCCACTTATACAAGGAATAACTGTTTTTAGGTACTGTGAACTTGCCAGAAGTATTTAAGAGTGCACTTCCAATGCCTCTCAGCTTGACTGCTTTGATATGGCTCCTATTTCTTGACGTGAAAATCATAGTAGCAATTTATTGTGGCACTTGGGCAGAGGAAAACTCTGCATTTGCGACAAGAAACTCGAGACTTCGAAACACAGCGAGTGTTTCAGCACCTCTGTGGGAAGTTGGCACTGATGTGATTGGGCCAGTGGTTTGTGCCGTCAAACCTTGCATAATTTGTTGGCATTGGAATACCAACATGTGATTTTCGGACAGGCTTTGGAGAGATTGTGCTTGGTCGCCCCCTCCTGTTTGGCTCAGCTTTGTTGCTTGCGATCAAGCTCCGTGCAATGTTCCACTGGAAAGCCATAAGGTCTTTCACTTCCTTTTTGGGGAGTATTTCGGCATTAGCGTCGCGAATGTATTCAAGCCAGCTGTTGCACACTGCAAAGCAAATGAAGTGGGATATTACTCTTACTGGCCATTTCTTTGTCTTTGCTTGCAGGGGATACAGTGACACCAAAAAGTCGAGCTTGTCAACGCCACCCATGAACTGATTGTACTCAGCGATTACCTGCGGACAATCGATGTCAACGTGTTGCTTGACTGAGTCGATCCATCTCTTCACCTTAGTTGTGTTACCTAGTCCTACAATTGTAGAGACAATGTTGACTGGGACATTTTCGTACCAGCGGACGATCACCACATCTCCTCTTTGGCAATCTTAAAGTCGGAGCTTCTGCGCCCTTCCTTATTCAAAACTTTTTCACTCTTGAGCTCACAGCCTAGAAGCCTGTTGGCTCTTATTGTACCAGACGCCAAAATTTCAAGACATTTCAGCTCTCGGAAGAGTGGCACAGAAGAAAAATAATTCTCCATGTAGCATCTCACGTTCAGATCACGAGGGGCGCTTGTTCAAGCCGCATCACAACCGATCCACCAAGGCGGAAATGTAAGGGGTCCTTGCTAACACCAGTCCTTTTCACTTGATATAGCTCAAAATCATGACCCATGCCATCTGCGCTGCAACGGATAAATATTTTAATTTCTTCTGGATTTGGTTTGTTCTTCACAAACTGCTTGGTGGGGACCCTTCCAGTAAAAGGCACCATCTGTTCATCAATGCTGCTTTCTGTGAGAGGTTGCAATGCAAGACACCGACTTCTGATTGCATCAATTAATGGCGCTACTTCCCAAAACTTGTTCCGTGTTGGATCCAGTGGAGCATTGGCATCAGTAGCATGGAGTGCTGCTCGAAGCTTGAAAAAGCGTTTGCAAGTCATAGCATCCGCAATACCTGGTAGTCGTGTGTCCTCCTGCCAATACATGCCGATTCTTGGAAATTTCAAAATTCCCATGCGTATCAATACACGAAAGAAAACTTTTGCCCCGCCGCGGTGGTCTAGTGGCTAAGATACTCGGCTGCTGACTCGCAGGTCGCGGGTTCATATCCCGGCTGCGGCAGCTGCATTTCGGATGGAGGCAGAAATGTTGTAGGCCCGTGTGCTCAGATTTGGGTGCACGTCAAAGAAACCCAGGTGGTTGAAATTTCCGGAGCCCTCCACTACGGCGTCTCTCATAATCATATGGTGGTTTTGGGACATTAAACCCCGCATATCAATCAAACCAAAGAAAACTTTAATTTCTTCAGATGTAGTATTTAGTTCAACTCTGTCTCTTTGGAGTGCATAAATTTTGGTAAAACGGGCTAAGTCATCAAAATTTTTTGAGTGAAGTACTTCGTATAGTACTCAAGTGGTTCAAGTACAGTTGATCCTTGGTCAGGGATGAATTTGCATTTGGTGTTACAGGGAAGAATTTCTTCTTAATCTACTTCACCACTGTTTTCTGTCTTTTTGTGGGCGGTGGCTGCACATTCTCTTCATCGTCACTGCTACTGATGTTGTCAGTGGCTCTCAATGATTCTGGAAAATGATCTTCACTTGCAGCAGGCTAAAAACAAAATAAAAATGCTATAGAAATTCATAATTGGAAAACTTTTAAATTTCATTTGTCTAAAAGTAACACTCACCCAATTTCATCAGATTCTTCAAACTCGTTGTCCGAGGAGTCCCTGTCTGAGATGTTCTCGTCGGCTATTCTGGCTAAAAGAGCCTGAGCCGAAGTAGTCGAGGCCTTTTGCCGGCATATTGAGTGGTCTTTAAGACCTATAACACATAAACAAAATGCATAAGCTCAGTATTATCGACTAGAAACAACATAAACTATATAAGGAATGTAATCTGGTGAGACAGCCTTGAAGCGCCATGTGTACAAACGTACAGACACATTTTTTACTGAACAGCACAAAGCAATCTTTAGCAACCACCCAAAACCTTCCCATTTGTAAAAAGCGATAACATTATCTGTTCATCTGAAATGCACATGATCTTTCTAAAAGTAACTTACAACCTTAAAAAAAAAAAGAACCGCATGGTACTCACGTGCTAATCCATAAAAACTCGAGGCGTCCATCTTCAGTGTTTGTTTGGGCCTCTGCTTTCTTCTGTGGCATACTTTTCTTCTTCTTCTGGCACGACACACTTGGGACATAAGCTAGTAGTGGGTATTCTGCTGAGGAGAAAAGAGGAAGTAGTTGGAACAGTGGCGGAGATGCATTAATAAACCGCGCTCTGTTTTCCCAATAACTATAGCACTCTGAAACGCAGTTCAGAAAACACAGCGCGGTTTATTAACGCATTTCCGCATTGTTCCAACTACTTCCTCTTTTCTTCTCAGCAGAATACCCATTACTAGCTTATGTCCCAAGTGTGTCCTGCCAGAAGAAGAAGAAAAGTATGCCACAGATAGGCCCCCCCTTCTTCTTAAAACCTAGATAGCGCTAGCTGTCTACTCGGAACGCATACATCAATGCTCACATGGTGTGTCATGCCATTTGAAGTAAAGGCAGGCGCGCTCTGTGGTGCCAAATTTGATGTGTACAATTGTACACACCGCCGCTGCAGAGGTTATCCTCATGATAATGATAATGACGGCTGCACCACCTGGGGCACCATCTCTCAGCCTTCCGGTTGCCGCCTCTGCCACACAGTCCTTACAGCTCATTCTTGTAAGACTTTTTGTGGCACATTGGTGAGCTGAAGGCAAAGTGAACTTTTCTGCGACCAAACTTCACTCATTTGTGGCTTCATGCATTTCAAGGCATTATCTGGTTCATCATAAGGAGTCGTAGATTCGTCTGAAAAGATTGCCATACAGGAGTCCTGTTTTTTTGTCTTTTTTTTTTTGTCCCTGTCGTTTTGCCTTTAAAGAAATGTCTCTAAAGTGGGCGATCTTGCTCGCAGCATCTCAAATCTGTGAGCTGTGCTCGCTGATACGATAACTTGATCGCAAATGCAATAGGCAAGTGTTAGTGCATGCCTCTCTCACGATTTAGAATGGTTGTTTTTACTTCATATGCTCCATATTTTTGCCGTAATCGTGTTGAAAGTAACTTTTGTATGAGTGGGAAGCTTTGATGATTATTCTCTATATGTGAACGCAGTTTTAATACGTTTAATTATCATTCTCATAGGGGAACAAACAGGAGATAAGGCGAGATGCATGTTACTCAAACGAAATATTTATTGACTGCCTAGAAACATCGCGGTGATGATGATAGCTGTGTGTAGATGCCATTGCGATGTGGCTGTTGAGGATTATCTCACTCTTGTAACAAAATGGTATAGGAAAATCGTAAGTATAGTATAGGAATGGTATAGAATGGTATAGGAAAATCGTAAGTATAGTATAGGAATGGTATAGAATGGTATAGGAAAATCGTAAGTGCATCAAAACATGGCGGTGGTTATAACTGACATATTATTATAGCTGGGATCGTTATTAGTGGGTTCGACTGTAAGTAACATAATTGATCACTAGCAAACTCAAGCCTGCATTTCTCGATACCACAACATTGTGCAGTGTGAGCTGCATCATAAACTGTCATAAACTGTCCATAATTTCTTGAAACTCACGATGCCAGGTCATTATATTTCAAGTGTTTCAGCTGCAATATTTGTTCTTGCTGCAGATAAGCAACCTGGAGCAGCGGCCAGCCTCGTACACCACCACACGAGAGGCTACCCTTAATAATTTTGACACAGTGCGAAGCTACGGGAGTGCGGCTGACGACCTCGAGTCACGTTACCAGCCAAACGATCTGCGCTGCCACACTCCATCGGCCAGTGCTCCTACCAAGGGTCTCTACCTGGACAAGATTCCCAATGGTGCTTCACACTGTAACCTCAGCCCTTTCTTTGAGCCTTGCCTACTTTAATTAAGGGGAGATGCATGTTGTGGAATGGCGAAAAATCGCAAAAAAGTGGAATTTCGAATAAGTGCAGTATCACGAAGTTCGAACATTTCATAATGTCCCGGCAAAATCTGAACGATCAATTCAATCAAGAAATGCAGTGAACTCTTTTTAAGACGAACTCTGTTAAGACGAATTCTTGCTTAAGATGAACAAGACGGGAGTGTTTGGTTTCCCATAGACTAAATGAAAAAAAAAAGTCTGCTTAAGGAGGGACGCGGGTCTTAGAAAAGTAAAAAATGGCCAAAAAATCGATTTTGAGAAAAACGCATTTTTCGAATCTTTGAACCTATAAGCACCTCTCCTCAAATTATTAACGCTAAATTCGATAAAAAAATAGGTTAAAATCTATTTTCAAACCATCACGGGAGTCGCAAAACAACCCGCAAAACAGAAAATTTGTTCGAACTTCCCGCGCGCGCCGCCAGTGAAGCAACCGGCGGATCGGCGCCATCTTGGGCTTGTTTTGAAGCTGGTTCCTTTGTGCGCGTTTTGCAAGCTCTCAAAATGGCGTAGCTCCAACACAACGACTGCCCTTCCCCGTTTTGTGAAGCAGTCTGCCGGACCGCTGATTGGCTAGAGCGCGCGCGCGCCACCGAGCCCCCACGTTTCGCGCTTACCATTGGCTGGCACGGCGGCGCGACCACGGCTGCTCGCTCTTTTTTTTTTGTTTGGTTTTGCTCCGTCGGCGCCTGCTCTCGTGCGTGTTATCTCGTCTGCTACCCGCTCGTGTACCGACGTCGCCGACATATACGTCTTTCTGCATTTCGGCGGCATGGCTTGGGAAGCTCGCCTGAAGAAGAACACTCGTCAAGCTTTCGGCAGGAAACGAAAGCGAGCGTGGAATGCGCGGCAGAAGGGAGCGGCCTGCGCGCCGCCGAGAACGCCGGAGATGGCCGAGGCAGCGCATTCTGACGACAACGGGCTGTCGGAAATGCCTGTTATTGCGGAGGCAGCACATTCAGACGACGACTTGCTGGCGCAAGTGCCTGTTATTGCCGAGGCAGCACATTCAGACAACGATTCGCTGGCGCGAATGCCTGCCGAAGCGGTGCACTCTATTCGGCCCAGCTGCAGCACTTCGTCGGATCATCACGTCAGCGGATCGTCATCCGGCACTACTGGAACCATTCAAGGTCGTGTCGACACGACGTTTTACTCTGCGGACGAGTTCGCCGAGTGCTCCATACGTGCGGCGAATTTAAAAGAGTCCCTGGCATCGCAGTGCGCGACAGCACGAAAGTTTGAGCTGCTGGACGTTCAGCTGCAGGGCGACGACAAAGAAAACGGCACGTAATTTGCCATTGTTGATATAAAAGCGATAGACTCGCTATTTGGACTTCTCCCCTGCCCCGAGTGCAGCTCAAAAAGTATGACTTTCTCCAAGAGAAAAAGAGACTATGGGCTGTGCTCAAAACTCGGGCTCGCATGCAGCAAAGCGACATAAGCCTGCAAGAGACACTGCATACAGCCCTGGCATGCTGTAGAATTGTAAGGATCTCTGGGACAAAAATGTGTGTTTTACTTGAAATAGTGTTTTATGTATAAAAGGGCAATGTTTTTATATATAACATGTGTCTTCCTTTGGTTTTCAGTGCACTAGAACAGCCACAAAGTTATAGACTGGGTTCCTTATACTGATTCAACGGCCAGTACACAGTTTTTAAATGAGCTGTGGCAAATATTTTGGGAAGGTGCATTGACACATTTGGTACAGCCATACTCACATAATGTAGAGCTATACAGCGGTGCCATTTTTATTGCTCTAGCTTCACTTTAGCAAAAGTTACAGTTATTAGAAACTTTAAATGCGTTTTTCCCAGTTCGATGTTTTTGTGCACCACACTAAACCTTAGGGGTTTTTCTTATATGTTACTGTTGATTGAGAATGACAAACTTGGTATCATTTTATTTGTAATAACATTACCTATGGGGTGATGCTATTTTGATTACTCTAGAAGCATACTGTTAATTACAATTATGGATAGTGATGAGCGAAAATTGAACAGAATATCCATTGTAAGTGCTGGTCTGTTTTCTTATCTATATAATGCCTAAAAATTAATAAAAATAGCATCACCCCATACAGAAAGCCCTCAGCATTGGGGCTATGCATTTATTTTTGGATCTGGCTTGATTAAGTTGACAAAAAGCCCCCAATGAAGTGCATAATTAATAAATATACAGATGATAATATCTTTTTATCCACTGAAGCTATTTCAGAAACAATTACATATTTGAAATCAGCATGAAAAACTGTCCAAGATGGTGAGGTTTGGTCAAGATTGAGCCAAAAACAGAAAAAAAAATTTTAAAGACCCATGTCCCCCCTTAAGACGAACTGTGTAACGTGCCTCTTCTGTTAAGACAAACTATCGCAGCGACCGACAATGACAGGTATTCTACGCAACGAACATTATAACCTTTATGGGAGCGTCCAGGTGAACAAAAGAAGGCAAAATGAAAGAAAAAAAACTTTCTAGTGCAAAAACTCAAAGCCAACGAAAAAAAATCGCGTCGCGGCGGGAGGAAGCAAGATAAGTGGAAAAAAAAGGGTTGGCGCATAAAGTTGGTATCTTCCTCACTTTTAGCCTGTAGGTGGAGAGAGGGCTGGCTTTATTACCACAGAAAGCAACAAAAAATGTTTGTCCTTTTGTATTCTCGCATTCTTCAGTTCCCCCAAAAGGAGTACAGTGGAGAACAGAAGAACACAGAAGCTTGCTAGAGGGAAAAACGCAGGGAAGGGGGTAAAAAAAAGCAAATGAAAGTAAAAATGGGAACAAAGATTGCCTGTGCATTATAGTTGCATGAAATCTAAACCACATATGTGGCACTAGCACTCCCATCAGAGGAGTCAGACGCATTGTCATTGCCGTCACGCAATGGCACCTGAGCACATGTTGTGGTCAGTTTGCGTTGTATTACATAGGGCCGGCGCACTTCTTATGTGTTCCCAGTAAAATGCAACAAATTGTGATGCTCTACTTTGATTATGAAAGTACAGAATTAATGAAGGTCATTTTGCAGACTAAATATAACTGCGTCATGTTTTTTTTAGTAGTAGCGTAAACATAGCTCTTCAGCTGCATGTCATTCAGAAAAGGTTACTACGGGCAGAAAATAAGAAAATATTCAAACTTCAAAGAAAAGCTTGCAGACTTCCATAAGCAACTTGGCGTATATTGGCTTTGTCAAGGTAGTGATATGCAGTGAATGCGTATCTAAAGGCGATAGGGTTACAGGGTCGGTGACTTCTGTACAAAATGCTTTTACAGAGGAAAAGCCACACGCAAGAGTCACAATGGCTGATTGGCACACTCGCGCACCTCTCAGCTTATTGTGTCCTTCCTCTTCCTTTACTTCACGTCCGTAACAGGACCCCCGGGCGCTGAAGCGCCGTCTCGGCATGAGTCTGGAGAAGTGCGACAGAAGTAGGGTTTCAGGTTCGAAATATGGACAATGTCAACAAGTGACAAACTTGGTGACGTAGTGGAGTGCAATGGCGCTATCTCGTATTTGACGTCGCTAGCTTGACGTAAGACCAAATAGAGTCCTGCGTATCGGCACAAAAGTTTTTCGGAGAGACCTACACGATCACACGGTGACCAGAAAAGCACGCGGTCACCTGGGGCAAATGTTATATTACGATGCCGGTGGTCGTTGTGGGCTTTTTGCATATCCTGTGGCCTGGTGAGATGAGACTGGGCAACTTGACGAGCCATGTGAGCCCAATCAATGGCTTCGGGAGCAAACTAAGAAGCAGATGGCTTGAGAGGTAAGGCAGTTTCAAATGGCAATATGGTGTTTCAAATGGCAATATAGAAAAACCGACGCCGTACGCGGTCGTGTGTGCGGGAAACACTGAGGTGTCCCGCTGTTGGTGCGTCGTGAAGTTGTTCAAGTATTTCAGGCTGTATATGACAAGGAATGACAAGCAGAAGCTCAGGGCCTTCAGTGCTGCTGTGCGGTGGTAGAGGATTCCGTCATGCAGCATGAACATACGGGATTCAGCGTCATGGCTGTCAGACTAGATGGCGTCGATGATAGTGTGCACTGACTCATCCCGTCGTTGTTCAGTGCGCTTATCGCTGATGTCAGTAAACTCCATTACGCTGCGCTTCAGGTCAGTCACAACGTGATCATGAAGTTGCACCGGATGACGAGAAAGACAGAAAGATAGTCTGCGTCCTTGTGCAAACGGTCAGACTCGTAGCTGATGCTAAATGAAAATTCCTGGAGCCTCAGAGCCCAGCAATCCAGACGTCCAGTCGGGTCCTTCAGAGAAGTCAGCCAGCAGAGGGCGTGGTGGTCCATAACAACTGAGAATATGCTACTATATAAATATGGCCGGAACTTGGCGACGGCCCAAGCTAAAGCTAAACACTCTCTCTCGGTGATGGAATAATTCCTATTAGGGGAAGAAAGCAGGCGACTGGCGTAAGCTGTCACGCACTGTCTGCCGTGGTGCCGCTGAGCGAGAACTGCGCCAATACCGTGGCCACTGGGGTCGGTGTGAACTTCTGTGGCAGCAGAAGGATTTAAGTGGGCAAGTATAAGGGGGGATAGTTAAGTAGCCGATAAGAGTGGTGAACGCTTGAGCCTGCTCAGGGCCCCATGAGAATGTGGTATCCTTCTTCAGCAAATCTGTGAGCGGCCTGGCAACGTCGGTGAAGTTTTTCACAAAACGACGAAAGTAGGAACATAAGCCGATGAAGCTCCAGACGTCGGATGTAGAACAGGGCACCGGAAAGCTACGGACGACGCAGATCTTTTTGGGATCTGGTTGGACACCATCGGCATTTACAAGATGTCCCAGAATGGTAATCTGACGGCGACTAAACTAGCATTTCTTGGAGTTGAGTTGTAGCTCAGCTGTTCTGACGACTGCAAGAATTGCAGTGAGACGGGTCAGGT